GGCCTAGCATATAGCGCGATACCTGACGGAAAGCATTTTGGTAGGCGACACTGTGCTTCACACCGCAGTCGAGCTTCATACCTCACGGTCGGTTCGGTTGTTGTTTGTTGGCCTTTCCCTACCATTGTTGAAAGACAAGTTCTGATTGGGTGATTGTGAGTCGATTACGGCTTTATTTTTTTTTCATCAAGTCAATCGCTGATTGGCCACAGAAGTTTTTCGGAGGAGTTCGGAAACATCTTCGTCTGTGTGGTCTATGCACGCGTGTGGTCAGAGCGGTAAAAATTTATCAACCCCCCCACCCCTTCTTTCCATCATCGTTCCGTTCGTTAACAAGAAGAATGTCTAATATTAATAAAGATAAAGATAAACTGAAGCGACCCACAGGCTTATTTGCCTTTGGCATCGTAAAAAAACCAAAGAATGGTACACATCTAGATGTGTATAAGAGACAGAATAAGAATTTTGGCAAGCGAAAAAAAAATACATGCAAATAAGAGACTAGGCCTAGGCCTAGAAGAGGTAGGGGAGGCTTAGCGTAGCCTAGTTAATCATGGCCTACCTATTATTAAACTAGGCCTAGTGCTGTGAAACGTAAGAGGTATAGGTATTTTATAGATTATACAGTGCCTTGTTGCGCAGTTGATGTTGAAGTTAAGAAAGCCACAGAACTTAAAACAACAGTCTCGGTCTCTACAAACGAGGTGGCAATCCAGGTTAATGAGCACGAACTTGGAGCTAATGCTGGAGAAGATATAACTATGCAAGCAGAGTCTATAGCAACTGCTTTAATGCCAACATTTGAAGACTATGATGATGAATCTGATTCAGATTCAGACATTGAATTATAATTCAATGTCTGAATAGAATCATGTTCAACAACAGTCTTCAAATGTAGGCAATGAAGCAGTTGCTATAGACTCTGCAGAATCACAGAGTTGTAGTCCTGGTCCAATTGTTTGTAGTCCTGGTCCAAAAGTTTTGTTAATAAAAAGAATACAGACTATAATGCCATAGTAATTAATTATTTTTTAAATGTTTTAAGTTTCATTAAATTATTGAAACTGTGAAATTTTAGCCAAAATCTGTTGTATACTGCATATGTCATCCATTTGTGCTGAAATTCTTCTGCAAATCAAAAATGCCCTTAAAAATATGTCAAAAATATTTATTTTTTTAAGTAATTATTTAGTGCTCTAAAAGTGCTCTAATGGCATCAGAGAGCATCTAGACCCTAGAGCTTCCGGGGCCCGGCCGAAGTGGGTGTACTCGGTGTCCATTTGCAAGTTACCTGCTGTAAAATCTTTTTTACCTGCTGTAATTTTTACTAACAACAACCCTGACATTGAGAACACATGTATATACAAATATGGAATGTTCTTTACACCAAAATAAAGAGTAATTCATGAGCTTTCAAATGATATTATACATTTAATTCATACAATAAATTATTGCAACACAATTTTGAATAGTAAACACATAACTTATTGCAATTTCACTCTTTTCAGGCAATAAAGCTGAGAAAACAGCATTTTTAGTTTCACAACGCCTACAGTAAACACTAAAAACCAACAACTAAACACAATAATCAGACTTTTTATCCCCATTAGTGTATTAGTTATTTATACATACATGAATCTAACATAATAAAATTATAAATCCTACGCATGGATTAGGTCACTGAGCCCCTGGGGTCAGGTTGGCTATCTCCCCCCAACTCTCAAAACAACTAAAAGTGTGAATATTGCCTATTTTCATTGCTTTGTTAGATATACACATATTGATAATTTTAAATGAAATATAAAAACACTGAGTGTAATTGCACACAACTTTGTACACATACAGTACCGCCATGAAATATTGCACTTTTACCTGCGCGCAGGCTTCGTAGATACATCGTAGCCTGATATAAACAATCTAACCTGCGCGCAGGCTTCGTAGATACATCGTAGCCTGATATAAACAATCTAGGCAAGGCTACGCGAAGCGAACCTACGAAGCAAAAGCATGTTGTTTATTTGTATGTGCAGAAAGACTGCTGTAGCTTTGTTTGATAATCTGTGAATGGCAAACACGAGTTTAGACCGTTAATTTAAAGTATGGAACTGTTTTTCAATAAGAAAAACGTACACTTGACTTCATGGGAGTCCCCCCCTTCCACTCGCTGTCCACGACAGGAACACTTGTTTGTACTGCTGTATTATTTTTTTTAATTAATTAGCCTAGGCCTACAGTACAGACACAAATTACCGCTTCGTATCTGCGCGTAACCTCTCGTAATCTGCTCGTAGGTATGTTTTGAACGTAGCTACGAACCACTACGAAGGTCATTGTTATTTTAATTAGCTTTGCAATGATCGTAGGCTGGATCGTCGGGCTAATAAACAATGCGTAAACAATATTGAAATATAGTTTACCAGCTTTCAACACGTAAGCAATGTTGCAATTTACTAAATAAACAATGTTAGAACTTTATTGTTTTGTTATATCCTACCTTATTATTAAATCGATCATGTTTTAAAACTGTGTTTAGTTCGCTAGCTGGGTGGGTAACCTAGTGGGCATTCAGTATGTTCGAATTTCGATGTCATTTAGGCTTACGTACGGCCTACATTTTCCCCTATAGAGGAGGAGAGCAGACAGTAGTCCTCAATGACAATGCACACATGTGAAAAGATTGTTCATCAAATAATATTTTGTAGTCTTGATTTAGTAAGATAAATAATAATTATAAAGGAGAATTAACGTCAGTTGGTTGTAAAATTACCGAATGTCACATGGAAAACTCAATGGAAAATAAAACTTAGCCAGCATTAGACGTCAGAGTGCGCGCCAATCAAAACACAGTAAAGTGTGTTAAAGGTTAACCTCGTGGCAAATGTTGAAAAGCTGTGATCAACAGTGAGTAAAAAACGGAGTAAATGCGGTCTAGCATGACTAGCCTTAATTCGGCAAGGTAGTGATTTCTATACTTCCATTTAGTATTGGATCGCTTTGCAGGTTGTTCTGCTTCAAATTACGGTATTCGAGATGGGCTTCTCAAAATTAAGCCCATTAGGCGTCTATTTGAGGTTTTTTTTTTAATAGTAAAATGACATGTAAATGAAAGAAAACTTATGGTTTCTTTTATTGAAAGTTGATAATTTGCTTGATCAATTTAAATTTGCAGTTTCGATTGAATTTTTAAAAACAGGCTCCGGAGAAAAAAAAAGGTTTTGATGTTGTGCAACTGATTTATTTTAAGACACTAAAAGAATAGTTTACCTTCTTTTTATAATCTTCTGCTGCAGTTCGCTTTGTTTGGTCACCATCCTTATTTTCTATATCTTTCTGTTCAATGCTGTTGATGATCCTCCACGATGCTCTTCGCGCACCGATCACATTTTTGTAGGCCACTGACAACAGATTCCTTTCCTCAACGGTCAACTCAACATCAAGTTTCGCTACATGTTTCATTGACTCCACCATTTCTGAAAACAAACGCATATGGTTGTTAATCTACAATAGAACAATGTAATCAACATTTTTGTTTTGATTCATTACAAGCAAGCTTTGATGTAATGTACCAACTACATAAGTACTGAATTAACGACAATGAAAGCAGTGCTAGAAGGCATCAATCAAAAGGATATTAGAGTACAGTATCTGGTTACAAATGAGCTTCAACAGAACAAAACTGTGATCTAATCAGTTCCAATAGAAGACTAAACAATAAACAAGTCATAATTGATGGATATGTACTTTCACTACCAAATTAATACATTTCCATCACCTAGTAGCAGTATTTACTGTTGTGTTTAAAAAAATGAACACTATATAAAAATATTGAATGCTTTGGATGAATTGAATCGCCTATGATCTCCCTGCCATCTAAGGTGAACCGCTGTCATGTGACTATGAGTAGTCACATGATGGAGTAGTCACATGATGACTACGCAAGGTTATACACATTCATGCTATCATTGAATGACTTACTGTATTAGATGAATCAAAAAGTTATCAATTAGACACTCAAAACAACTTTAGTTACGGTATCAACAATTTACAGACATTCTAAATAAAAATACTTAGGGAAGCAAAAAAAAATATAGTTGTCGAGGACAATATTTTCTCATTCTAATCTTTAAATAAAAGCTTATGTGAAATATTATGTATCAAGATGCTTGACGCAATACAAGACAAAAAATTGTTATTATCTATGTTCCTGGTCATAATTGTCAAACTGGCACAAAATACTTCTCTCTGTGTTGCAATAGACGCACACAATCCATAAAGCCACATCTATCCTACAGTACCTACTAGGTACTATGTGTATTTCTACTACTGGGAGACTGGGAGAGACATATGTACGAAAAATACCTTGCCCAAGGGCACTATCGAAATTCACAGCGAGAGTGTACAAAACCTAAACCGTAATCGCTGCGTCAATATATAAAATAAAGCCATTCAAATATTGCAATATACTCTTACAGATTACTAGGTCAACAGAGTATGCCATAACAAATCATTCCTACACAGTAATCAGAGTATAAAAAGATACAAAAATGCACATACCGTACTGTAATTATACAATCATCATCATGATCACCAAAAGTTACATAATTTATTAATGCATACATAGTAATCAGAGATAAAAGATGATCAAATAGTATCAGATACTGAATTTTGTATATTTTACACTTACTTTAAACGATTTATTTGATATTAATATTCATCCAGTTCCATCTTATATTTACTTATGCTGAAGGTGTGAAACTAATTGATAAACATTACAGTACCCTTTGAAATGTCGTCAAGGGAGAATACCTTACTTTACAGAAGAGTACAAAAATGAACATAATTATACAATATGATCACCAACAGTTACATAATTTATATTAATGCATACTCATGACTGAGTGATTTGATGCCATGCTTTTTCAACATCATTGTAACCCTACTTGCCAGATCATGCATAATACTCTTTGGCAGCAAGTTTAAAGATGGTGTGTGGCACCGATTATTTTTATACCTTAAGGTGATGAAAAAACCATGGTGAGGATCACTGATCTGGTGGCGAAAAAGTTAATGATTGGTAGTGGTAATGATGGTTATCAAACCCATATCCAGGGATGTGCTAGTACCCCAAAATCAGGGAAAAAGCTAAAATTTATAGGCTTTGGAAGACCTACAATATTACCAGCTCTTCCCCTTTGATTCTACCCAACCCCCAAACCGTAAAACCTCAAATTGAAGCCCAGGGCATCTTTTTTTTAGCGAACTTTGGATGGTCCTCTTTTTGAGATGGGCTTCTTTTCGAGATAGGCTTCTTTTCGAGACTACTTTTGCAAAGTAAAAAGGGGGGCTTCTTTTCAAAATGAATGCTGTAAATTTTGTGAACTTGTACAATTAAACAATAAATAAGGTCATGTATTATGGAGTGTACAGTATTTAACTGGCATTAAATCACCTAAACTAGTGTATAAACAATGCTTGTTTTTAATTTATTTTGTTTTCTGAAATTCATGCACAGTGTATATACAGTACTACTGTGCATCTTGAAAAGAAGCCTATGCTATTTTGAAAAGAAGCCCATTTGCTTCTTTTTGAGAAGGACCCTCTTTTTGAGGCTAATTTTGCAAACTAAAGAGACGGATTCAATTCGAGATGGGCTTTACCTCGAGATTAAGCCCACTGAGCTTCAATTCGAGGTTTTACGGTATCCCAGTTGGTTCATTTTTGCAAACCCTGCACTGCCAACAATGGTAATCCTGGTAACGACTCTAGTGACAGTGATATGATTTAAAGATATACTGGTGGTAGACAGGATGACAAAGTTGATTTAGTAGGCCTTGTCAATACCATGATTAAATAGGGGATGATGACTGTCTCTTATACACATCTAGATGTGTATAAGAGACAGCCCCTCAACCGATTGACCTAAAATTTGAGATTTCGTGCTGCGAGATCACACTAAACAAGTACACCAAGTTTCATCAAAATCAAAAAATATGTGGTTAAATCCATTGGGTGATTTGACATGGAATGACCCTGTCGTAGGGGGTCTGGGGCATGCCCCTGCGAAATTTTTGTGTTCTAGACGCCCGAACATAACATTTGAGGCATTCTGGGCTATCATTTTTTTCTTTTTCTCTCTTTTTTTTTCTTTTTTTTCCCTTTTTTTTACCTCCCAAAAGGGGGGGCCGGGGCCGGGCCGGCCCCCCCTAAATCCGCCCCTGTTGCTTAGATTATTTATATCAGGTACGATGTATCTACGAAGCCTGCGCATAGGAAAAATTGCAATAGTTTGTGGCTGTACTGTAGCTAGGAGAACATCCATGCAAAGGCGCTTGTCAAAATCCTGAATAGGAACGTGTGAACAAATCAGGAAAAAAAATCGGGGTCACATGGGGCCTTTTCCTGGACTCCCAACTTAATATTAACAGAAAGCAAACACTTGGACCATGTTCTCCGATAATTTCTGATTCGGAAGATAGAATTCCCACCTTTAAAACACTTAGCGGTGATATGCTTAGAATGTTTCCAATTTTAATATTAAAAATACAAAAAAACATAAAGTAAATCATTCACATATAAAAATTATGAAAATATCAAAGGTTAAATATTAACTTAGTGAAATATTATTTGTGATGTCATCCCGTACCCTACCAGAACACGTGCAGAGGGAGACGCGTCTAGGCTTAGTTACGTTATACGCGTGGTGCATGCATATGGTCACAAATTCTAGATAGGCCAATGTGCGTAAACCTGGAAAAATTTTATTTTATTAAATTTAGCATAACTCTGTACATACTGCATTCAACCAATTTTTGTCATCTAAAAAGTAGATTAAGCAGGTATCAATGTATTCTTTCCATTGAATTATGTGAAACTGTATTTGAAGTCAATTGAAAGATATAATTGTTTGTGTGCTAGCTAGCTGAAGGGCATTGGGATGACAAAAAGTGTTAAACTTCCATCCCAAGTATTGATTGCCATCACCATATACAGAAACATCCTATTGTTGGTTAAAAAGATTCGTAAGTTTCTTACCTACTTCTTCTATAAATAATAATAATAATAATAATAATAATAATAATAATAATAATAATAATATGTTTTTGTAGCTCTCCACACAAAACATCTCAGAGCACTGTAAAGCTCAAAATTTTATTATTTAAAACTGCTTAAAAATAGGGATCTCCAAAAATAGGCCTAGCCTAGATTAGACTCGATTGCATGGCAATAAATAGGCCCTAGGTGGTATGTACCAACCTGTAGGCCTAGGGCCTAGTTTCTACTTACAACAGCAGTTTTGATCAAACCCACCCAACTGAATGCAATTTATGCATCGCACTGTAAGTGTAATAATGAGTAGTCTATCGTAGTGCTGTTTGTCGTCAAATCCAAATGAGCGGACCAGCTCTTGCTCACCTCACTCAGGCCCGAGATAGGCCTAGCCTAGGCCTAGCCCTCGAACAAACGAAGGATCGAGATTAGGCCTAGCCTAGCACATAAATAACAAGGCAACAAACATCGTTATAGTGTTATTTATTAGGTACATTTTTACTACACCTTACGCACAGTGGATGTAAACACATTTTACACCCCTATTTAATTATTTTAAATTTCCAGCTTGGCTTTAATTATCCGTGTAATTGAATATTACACGCCCATCCTTGCTCATTTTCTACGCCATTGCTACGGTTGACAAGAGGAAAAACTGTTTAATAGCATAGGAGTCACTAGAACGGTTAGCCATTGGATCAACCTCCATTATCCGAATTTATATAAATAAATAAAATGTATACCATCGTATCTTTCAGCCTGTTCAGCCAACTTGGCCCTGTAGACATGATCTTCTCTTACGCTCATGTCGGATGTCTGATCTAAAAGCAGATTTTATGCGATTTATTCCGGTTCTTTCAGAAATTCAGTAACTGCGCCCGCCAACACCTAAGGAACAAAGTTCCGGGTTGTGGGTCATCATTAGACGTATGACAATGACTCATTATTCGTCCGCATGGCACTATTTTATATTACGCCGTTCGCACTGCTGGCATACTGCTGTTACATGTCTCAATTCCAGTTCTCCGTGACATTTTTTCTTTATTTACACCAAAACCAATATATTCATAAAAAAATATCTTGTCAATAAAGGCCTACTAATAATACTATAGTATTACTGCTGTAGTTGCTTAGCCACTTAATTAGGCTATCATAAACCAGTTTCATTGTACATATTTAAATAAAATATTCTATTATATATACACATATAATTAAATACATTATATATTGATATATATATATGTTTCAAATATTGGTTTTAAAGTGTTTCTAAATTCTACAAATAGACATATATATAGACCTATATATAAATCATAAAAAAAATAAATACAGTGTTTGAATAAAGGACATAGTGTAATACATCGTGTAGCATACGGTAGCTCTCAAGGAATTTTGTCCTATAAATAAAGAAGTGTAATGAAATGCTCTGACGGGATTCGAACCTGCGACCTCTCGCTGTCGAGGCGAGTGTCATAACCATATCACAGAGTATCTTGTTTTACATGCCAAATTGTTGTGTTTTCCATTAATTAAGTCGAATTTTATCTTAGTCGAACAAATTTCAATGCCATTTTGGATTCGACTTCGCCAAGTTCAACTATAGCCTATGAAACCAATAGTTGTACTGTATGCATATGCACCATAGTGTGCTCGAAACTTATTGTATATTAATGGCAATTCGCCATGCAAACCTCCAAGACTTACTACTTCATGCATTCCGTTTTGTGCACAGTTAAGCCGTACATTATTATTATATTTCGTCAGGCTTATTACAGTTCCTGTCTCTTATACACATCTAGATGTGTATAAGAGACAGATATATATACAGTGTTCGAATAAAGGACATGATGGTACATCGGGTAGCATAGCTTCAACGAATGTTTTCCTATAAATAAATACATTGTGTAATAAAATTCCTCCTGCAACCTCTCGCTGTCATTAGACCAAGAGGCTTCATGGTTTAACAGATTCAAATAACCGTCAGCTACATTGTATTACACAATAGTGCACCTCGAGAGGGCGCAGTGGCGGATTCAAAGGGGCCCAGCTCAGATGGGATTGGAAGAGGCAAGCATCCACTAAGCTATTCAACTTCACTCGTACGGAATTGAAGATAATTCTAATTTCACTGCTTCCTCTTTAGCCTACTACTATGAGACGATCACTGCCCGAAAACTTTCCACAAATTACCGGTATTTCGTGAAACTCTGAAATCTGCTTTTGCAAGTACAGTATGAATATTATTAATCTTAATTTCTGAAATTAATGACGTCATTGTCAGTTTGCTCCCAAGCGAAATTCAGTTTTACGTTTAAAATGTGTTCACCTAACTTACGAATGCGTTTAAGAGACCACCGTGCCATTTTTGAACCACACAAATCTTTTCCAATCATCAATATATAGCAATATAAAATACATAAACAAAAAAGATATGCAGAAGACGAAATGGGAACAGCAAGAAACACATAAGACATTTAGTTGGCTGGTGACCCATTAACTCATATAAGTGTGAAGTAATTTTCATTAAGAGATAGGCTACCTAAGTAAAATTCGGGCCTACTGTATACTAAAATATATTGGAATTGTCCAAATTTTAAAAAAATGAATTAATTATAAAAATTCTTACTGTAAGAGGGCAGAAACGACATAGCAACGGTAATCGCAAGTCTCCAACTGTTTGTTGACCAACATTGTCGACGAAATAGTCCGGGCCCAGTCTTAACAGTATAAGGCCTAATTAGTATTACTGTATTACCCTTACCTTACGTTGACTTTGCCTAAATCGAATAATTCCTACGTGTATCTTGTTTTACATGCCAAATTGTTGTGTTTTCCATTAATTAAGTCGAATTTTATCTTAGTCGAACAAATTTCAATGCCATTTTGGATTCGACTTCGCCAAGTTCAACTATAGCCTATGAAACCAATAGTTGTACTGTATGCATATGCACCATAGTGTGCTCGAAACTTATTGTATATTAATGGCAATTCGCCATGCAAACCTCCAAGACTTACTACTTCGTGCATTCCGTTTTGTGCACAGTTAAGCCGTATATTATTATTATATTTCGTCAGGCTTATTACAGTTCAATACGTACTATGTTCGGTATTACAGCAGAGCTATAGTATTTTTATTCATTTATTTTACAGGCTTACTGTATAATGTTGTATCTTTATTTCATCGTCGCATATTCCATTTGTAATTAGTATTAGAACTTGGTTTTTGTTAGCCAGATTTTTTTCTTCTTTCTCTAGATATGAGACAAAATATGAAAACAGGGAAGAGGTCGAGTTTGTTACGCGAGTTTTCAAAGGAGTTTTGTCCATAATCCTCTTATGTATTATGAATCACCGCCATAATCATCTCTTCTAATTGGTTAATACTTCTGGCTCCTATTACATAATGTATCATTATAAATTACCGCTATAATGTTTGAAATTGGTTAACACTTTTGGTAATTACTGTATGAAAGCCTGAAAATATGGAAAAGGGTTATTTATGAAGATGAACCAACTTTAGATTCGAAATGTTGAATACCAGCTCGATGGCGTGTATTTAATTTTTTGTAGTATTTATTATTCTTTCGTTTTAAGCGAATTTGTTAGGGGAAAATTTTGACTTTGTAGGGGACATGTTTGCTCGGGTGGTGGGGCGACTTTAACTGTATAACTGTTAATGGGTATTTGGTCGCAAAAAGACTACTCCATTTCCGATAATTTGGTAATTATTTAGTACTGGAAAAATTTGATCCACCAGTGGCGCAATTAGTGACAACACAAATAAGCAACAACATCTATATAAATTATACATGTAGGAAGATTTTATTATCAATGGCAGAAGTAAAAATATAACAATAAAATTATATAAAGTACAGTTAGTACCTAAATAACTAAAAATACTGTAAAACAAATAATAAGTAATAAAAAAAATATATAAAATTATACTGCAATTTAAAAAGAAAATATAAAAGAAGTAATAATAATAATAATAATAGTGATATGGTAATAGTTGAGTTGAATGTTGAAAATGACATACACTATTTAGTTTAGTTTTCATGCACTATGCTACACAGTGATAAGCACATACAAAGATATACAATACTATGTCTACCATAAATTCATATTTACGCAAAGAATATTTTTATAAACATGCTTAGATTTCTATGACGAGTGAAAAACAATATTCATAAAAATCTGATACAGTAGAGTATGATAGTAGTTAAAGCCTAATACAAGGTAGGCATTTGAAATGCGACTTTTACCAAACTCTGGTACACTTCACAAACCAAAACTTACCAAAACTATTGTAAGAAGATAAATCAAACACATTTAATTTTTTTTTTCACATTAATACTGTATTAACAATTAAAAAAGATAAATTATTTACTTATTTAAATTACATTCGCATTAAATTTTAATTCATTCTGTTAATTTTAACATAATCAGAAACTCTTAAAATTAGCTGTTATGTTTTATCTAAAACCAGAGTGACCAGTCTAAAGTATCCAAAGTTTTCTTATATATTGACAGACCAAGTCAGAAAATACCTAACTAGTTAACTTGTACACATGCTAAACCAATTGGTAAACTTAATTAACATGTTTGTTATAGAAAGCCATACTTTTTCAAGTTAAATTGATATATAACCAGGTAAACACAGTCAAGTTAAAACAGTTGGGACACTAGACTTGCATGTAGTTATTACTTCACCCAGTTACAAAAAAACTTCACTGTAGTTGAGAAACTTAACTAGCATAATTAGCATATAGAGTCCATACATGTTAACCCAGTTTAAAAACTCACTGGGTGTACAATACAGAAGCAAAGTTAAACCAGCTGGACTCTTAACTAACATAAGATTCCAGACATGTTAACCCAGTTAAACACTTTACTTCTATTTCGGAAGCCAAGTTAAATCAGTTAGGTCACTTAACTAATATTATGTCTTTATTACATATTCGGCACAAAAATCACAAATCAGGATATGGACAGAGGGCCCAACACAAGATGAGTGTATCCCCTAAACCCCCTAGCAAAATAAACATACAATAGATTACAAAACAGCACAGAGGCAAAGACGATACATAAACTGATTAAAATACGTAGCCCATAAAAAGATTGATAAAATATATAAAAGTAACAGATAAAAGTTTAAGAATCAGGTTAGAGGAATTTATTTTGCAAACCGCAACCGTTTTAATACCAATAAAATTTGAAGAAAAAACAATAACAAAATCATTAATAAAAAAAATGTCAATAAAAGTGAAGCAATAATAACAATAAAATAAAAAAGCCCAGAGCATAAACAACCTAAGAAAATTGTGGTGAAGAACTTTGCAAATTTTATGGTTAAAGAGAGATTGTCAGAAAATAAATAAAGGTGTCTTTAGAGGACATACTGTAGTGTTGTAAAGCTTTAGAATTTTAGAAATAAAACCGATTTTGTAGGGTTAACTCTGCCAAAACGCACGAAGAAAAGGAATTACAGTACAGTACTACAGTGACGAAACTCAATATTAAGAGAGAAAAAAATTAACCAAGGTACAGTCAAAACTAGAATCCATACACCTGAAAAGGAAATGAAGATCAAGAACAAACCCACATGCACCGAGAAACTGTTAAGTGAACGTAAGGGGAACAGTACAGGAGCGACAAAGAAAGTGGATAAAACTTTGTTGCACCAAACCAAACCAAACTGGGCAAAGAAATAGAATTAATTACAACACTGGAGAATTCAAGGTGGGGGGCCTAAAAAGCGAACAATATAAATTAACAAGACATTTAGGATTGTGAATATGCCAGTAGTTACGTTTGATATTTCCGAGCATTCAATTTGCCTTGTTGAGAGCTGCATTAATGTGAAGGTTGAACCTAAGATGAGAGTAAATTTAACTACAGTTAACACAAGAATCCTAACTAGAGCTATTCAATACACCTGCCTCCATGAGCAAGGCAAGTTAGTTCACAGTAGAATTAGCCTTATTTACCTCACAGATAATCATATATTTTATGCACATCACTTACATTTTAATATGAAAATACATCAATGCAACATTTTTAGAATCTGTTACTTTAACACAGCGAGGCAGCAACATGCTACAGTTGAAAGTAACCACAACCGTTTTGCTGGTGTAAGAATCCAAACTAAAAGACTGTACTGTACAATTGAATTGAAGATACCCATGCGATGTCCCATGAGTGTTCGTAAAACTACGCCAAATATCTTGGGAGTGTTACAGATGGTCATTTATTTTATTACACATGATGCAGATGCGCCTTATATAAACGCAATGTACAGGCAACGCTTCTAAATATGCCTTTCCACTAAGCCCACCCCTTGGATATTGTTGCTAAGGTCCCCTGTTCTGATTGGTCAGCTATAAATTTTGATGGACAATCTGGAATGCTCCATTATCACTAATACATATCCTGTGTAACCGTTTCTCTTGTGTGTATCTGGGATATCAGTGGCGGATCCAGGAATATGACCAGAAATGGCACTCTAAGAATTATAATATAATTTTCCTTTTTTCTTCTTTTAATTTTGAAAAATTTAGGGGGGGGGGGGGGAAGCCGGCCCGAGCCCCCTTGAATCTGCCACTGGATATGATAGATTATGGCCAGCAACTGCTGTAGTTTTAAGAAATTTAGTTGAAAGTTTGAAAAAGTAGGCTTCAGTATGTCAAGAATTTTCCTTATAAGACAGCTAATATGCAAAAATATACTTATATAAAAAATGATATAGATTCCACTTCCATCCGCAATACATGGTGGCAAAAAAAAACATACTAATGTAAAAACTTAAAAGCTATTATGTTGGTAATTTTTCTCTAATTTATCTTAAAGAAAAAGGGATAGTTGAAAAACAGTATCTGAAATCTAGTTGAAAAACAGTACCTGAAATCAGAAATTTAACTTTTTAATTATAATTTGTTTTTTTAATAAATTGGTGGCTTCAATGAACATCTAAAACTTCAAATGATGTCAATGCTTAATAAATAGGTTATCCAAACAGAAAAATTAAAAACACAATTACAAATTGGACGGAACAAAACAACAGATTTTACAACATTTCCAAACAGTTAACATATACGCCAAAGACGATTTGCTGTGTAATAACCATCATCATCATATGAAACAGCGAAAGTTTACTTACAATCAGTATTTACTTAAATATTTCATTTTAAAAAATTAGATAAAAAGGAGACCATTATACTTTTATGGTAGCCTATAGAATAATACATATTTAGATATTCCCACAGAAATTGTCACCAACTTCAAACACTGGTCAACAAAACTTTTGGATATGTTTAATGGTAACATTTAAATGATCACCTGATATGCATTTGGCTGTCAACTTATATATTCCCCATAATATGTATTGGGGACTAAAATTTCCATATTAATATATTTATCCTTTTACACAATTTATATAGCCATCATTAGGCAATTTTGTATCTGTATGCATTATATTTCATATCAGCCAAATATTGAATCAAAGTTGGATATTGTATTGTTACTATAAGTATTTTAATGTTCTGACAACTTTATAGAACATAAATTTCATATATTTTATGATCATGATTTTGGTGGTTTACTCATTTCTTAGTAATGGATCCATGGAGTCTTTGTTCTAAAATCCCAAGTAAGCCAACCCTGGAATATATTTATGTAACTGAACAAATACAGAATTAGAAGATAATATTTTCAATGTTTATGTTAGGTTAACATGGTTCCAATAGCTCCATGGCTTAACACATCCAAAGCATAATGGAGTACACAGTGACAGCAGACACATGAAAGAGCCAGATAATCCACACTACGAAAACATGAATGAATTAATAATTATTGCAAATGGTCATGAAAAATTAATTAATTCTATGCTATGATAAAATTTAATGGTCTACAAGAACCCACCAGCATATTAAATATAGATGGACCACTACACCCTCATTAGATACACCACGAACCCAACAACCCTCTGATTAATACAACCAACCCTAATCATAATTACCATACAGCATTGATACTATTGTTTTAGGGGTTTTCTGCACAACCATTTCTCAATCCTTTATTGTTTGGTTTACCTACAGAAGGATTGTTTGGTTTACCTACAGAAGGATTGTTAAGGTAACTTACTGGACCTGAACTGCCACAGATATGGGTTATGGTGCTGAAAAAAATCAATCGATCAATTAAACAATCAATCAATCAATCGATCAATCAGAATAATCTACTCCAATTAATAAACTTCATATAATGTCAATCATCCAGGAAATAGTTTTCATTTGCACTGACCAAATAAATAGATCATCATTCTGGGTACCGACCAATTTACCAATAGACGTAGATGAATGTCAATAATCTGGATACTGAAATATAATAACACATTTATAAATATACTTAAGACTTATGCAGGCATTTCCGATCATCTCACACAATTTAGAGAACTGATCAAGAAATTTCTCTTATGGCTGGCTTTAAAATATGACCACAATTAAAGACAAACACCAGAGCAAGTTAAAACGACCTCTCTGTCAGCTGTAGAAACTTGACTAAGCTATTCATCTGCTATGATCCCTTTCTTCAAACTGCAGCAAGTGTCATTCTCTTCCTAAGCTAGGGTTTCACTATGATTCCACAGCTGGTGCAGGTTCCTCTTTAGCAGGTTCCTCTGGGGCAGCTGCTGCTACTGCTTCTTTTTTTCCTTCTTTCTCACCTCCCTCAGCATCTTAAAAAAAAAAAAAAAAAATCATTACTGTCTTTCTCTTTCAATTTTACCATGACAGGGCTGAGGTTGTTGTTGGCCTCTTGCCACTCCCGCTGCTCCTGCACAAGAGATGGAGACCAATCTCATACTTTTAGAAAGTTATTTTGCGGATTTAGAGGCTATTTTTAGTTGCTAAGTGAGGAAAATTTATCAGAATGTGTTTGAAGACAAAATCCGAAATGAACATCAAAATTATCCAATATGATTATCAAGTGAGCATAGGTGGCAAAATTATATGCCCAGCATATAAATATAATAATGAAAGTTACTGTATTTATAATTAAACTTCCTCATTGAGCGAGACAAAATGTTGTGATATAAAATATTATCTTTAATCATTAAAGTCCTACCAACTTATTTCTTTATTTGTATTTACTGAATAATAAATAGAGATACTCAAAAATTTGTATCTGTGGTAACTTTTTTTTAGATTCTTTGGATAACTTATTCTTACCATCAACGTCACCATCCATGTCGGCTGTCCACAAGGTCAAGTTATCTCTTAAAAGTTGCATGATGAGGGTTGAGTCCCTGTAAGTTTCATCTTTGATGGATTCCAAGTCGGAAATCGCATCATCAAACGCAGCTTTCGCCAGTCTGCAAGCTCGCTCTGGAGAATTCAGAATCTCGTAGTAGAAAACAGAGAAATTGAGGGCTAGTCCGAGACGGATCGGGTGCGTGGGGGCAAGTTCATTGGTAGCAGTTTCGCATGCTGCCTTGTAGGCTTCAAGGCTGTTCTCCGCTGCTTGTTTTCGAAGGGTGCCAGATGTAAACTCTGCCATGTATCGATGATAATCGCCCTTCCTACAGATCCACAAACCAATGCAAATGATATATAATTTAATACTTTGAGATAACAACATGTATTTACCGTAAATGCTAGAATAAGCTTCGCTCTCGAATAAGCGCCGCACCAAACAAGATTTTGTTTCGCTAAGCGCCGCTCACATAACACAATGAAGACAAAAGCGGCCTTATAAACGTTTATTTCCAATGACAAACCTATGATAGGCCTACTGATCTATAGGAATACGGGAGATAGGTAAATGGGAACGGGCATGGAAAGCATCATGCCAATATTTTTTATTAAGCGCCGCTCTTGAATAAGCACCGCACTGAAGCCTCCAAGAATTTTATAAGCCACGGCTCTTATTCAAGCATTTACGGTATTGCCTTTTACAAATATCACCATATGATAAATGATTAATAGGTAATAAAAATAACAGGCAGTTGCAAGTATAATGCACATACAAGAATAATTTTAGTAATTAAATTTCAATTTACTGGAAATAATAATTTAATGGTGGTATTATGGGTACAATATTTATTTAATCACAAAAATCTGAATCAGTGTAAGCACTGAGCTATTTTGTGGATCTTTATTGAAAGTAAAAGCTAATTTTACTAATACATGTGAACGGAAATACTTTTCATAGCTAAGAGCACTTAAAGAGGAAAGTATTATGTTTGTATTTTTGGGGATAATTTTTTTTTGTTTTGTTTTTAAATTAAAAGGAAATTAATTTATAATACAACGTTATTGAGTTCAATAGTCAGCTCTAGAAATCAGGCTTGGTATTTGGCAATGTGTCATTTAGGATTCAATTTTAATATTTTACTTAACTTATATTATATTATTATCCCAACAGTTCATATACAAATTACAATACAATGACTTTAATGAGGGAAATAGAGATGCATAGATACAGTAGAACACCTCCCTTGGAACACCCCTATTCAGGGGATACCGCTATATAAAAGGGGACACTTTTCTGTGAAATGAGGAGAAATATACCTTTTAACACTACGGTCAACCCCCATAATACACAATTCAACATGGAAAACAAAAAAAATCCAACAGGAAACATAAGAGAATTAAAAAGCTATACGACCTTCTGTATTACACCAAGTACCTTACACGCAAAACTTCAATTACTGTACAAGTACTGCTAAAAATAAACTATACATAATTTCTTTATCTCGGGTTTTATACAGGAAGGTTCTGGTATTAGTAACAAATAATTAGTATTATTCTCACATTTTATTGTAGAAAACTTTAGATTCGGCTGATGCTGCAGATTTTAACAAGTGCGAGTTAAGAACCTCCAAAATGTCATCACAAATCTTCTCCAATTCTCCTTCAATCTAAATAAAATATCAAAAAATTTCTGGAAGTAAGTTACTGAGTATTGTCACTCTACACCAAGAAGAAACACATAGCTTGTGCTGTGCTTGTGAAAACACAAAAACATACTTAGCATGCTCAGTTGTTGTTGCAGACTTATTTGTGTAATTACGTCCAATAATTATGTTCTTACGAACAAGCACAAACAACTCGGTATTTCTTTGCGAAGTGAATGACAGTGTGGGTACAAAAGCACCGAGACACTGCTAAAATGTAGTGAAATTTTGAGTTGTTGGAATATTATAAATCTAGAAAATTTATATGAATGATAATATTAGAGCAAGCATGTTCAGCTGCTGTCACAGACTTATTTGTGTATACAGAACACAAAAACCCCACAAAAAAATGTTCCGACAATAACTTGTTTTATGCATCGTTATGGGGTCAGGGTGAGACTAGTTTCACTTCTAATCTTGATCCCAATGATGGTCATTTTATTTAAGTCTTGTTTACTTATGTTTCATTTGACTATGATGATCATTAGGCGAGACCAATAATGATGATTTCAAATAAAAATAAAATTTTACATTTGGCCAATTACTGCACCCACCGCCAAGAAAAAATTTAAATTTCAGAAAAAAAATTTAAAATTTATCTTTACTTTTGTTACGCCTGCTGCTGCATAGAAATCTCCAAAAATAAGATATAATTTTTTCCCTAATTACATAAATTTAAAGCATTTAACAATCATAGTATTACCCTGTTTACATTCAACACTAACAATTTATTTTAATTTTCTCCTGCATCTGGATGTTTTTGGCAAAACCATTTGCTTAATAAGAAAACAAAAGTAAAAGTATATATATATATATATATATATATATATTTTTTTTTCCGCCCTCTTCTGACGATTTAAAAAAAAATAAGTTTGCAAAACATGGTATAAAAAAAAGTGTCATCATATGAATAAATGTACTTTGAATTGAAGCTGAATGGTGAAATTACCTCTGCCTTGTATTTCTTCACCTGTTCCTTTTGTTGTTCATTGCCTTGAGTTTCTAATTTTTCTTCTATATTGCTGATGATCCTCCATGATGCTCGTCTTGCACCGATCACATTCTTGTAGGCCACTGACAGCAGGTTCCTCTCCTCAATTGTCAACTCCGTATCTAACTTTGCCACTTGCTTCATTGCTTCTTGCATATCTATACAAACAAAATTCAAGCATTTGACTCAAGATAAATCTGAATCAAACAATATGTACATGCCAATGCCATAGCCAGGTTTTTCAAACAGTACAGGACACTATGAGGATGACCCACTTTATGATTAATGTGGACCAATTTTTTTTTAAGTTGACCCATTTTAACACAAAAATTAAAAAAATCTGGACCCTTCTTAAAAAAGTGAACCCATCTTTTTGTGGACGCAAAAGAAAATTTGTGTGGGACTGTCCCAACAGCTGGCTACGGTATTTTGAACACCATACTAATCTAAATTAAGCCTATCTTTAAGAATAGCTTTTACTGTTCCATTCAGGGGTTTCAGGTCTCCCTCGAGTTGCAGTTTCCCGCATTCCAACAAGCATAATCTCCCGGAAACTACAGCAACCCACCTTCCATTAAAAACAGAATGTTTTGCATGTTTTTTACTAGTAGAGTATTACGAAGTAAATCCCCAACGTAAAGCTCTGGTAACACTATCTCATTTATTTGACAATTTTGTGTGAAGTGCAAATATATGGGCATGATTATGTCATTCTTTTGTATTTTTGTTGAAAATATTACAGTACACCCAAATATGGGCATATCATAATCCACATTTCTTTTTCATATGAAATCTAAGTGTGGACAGAGCTTCAGCAGGCCATGGGTTTCAACCAAGCACAACTCAGAACACAATTTAGATTGTGTTATACTAAAATAATAATGGTAAAGACTATGTAGTGCACATTGTTAAGCCCTCTATGCACTTCACATTTACCATTACCACGGTCACTGGATTTAAGAAAGACCATTATTTAACGAGATCTCCTTGCAGTGGCTTCTCGCAACTTGGGTTCATTGTCATCTAAGACCCTGTCCAGACTATCAAATTTTGTTTGACAAAAACATATGATATGCATAAATATGGTCATGATGACATCACATCGTGACCATATACTTATAGGCACATGACTAACATCTACTTTTACGATGATACTCTGCATAGTCCAAGGTTTGGATGTTCCGCAGATATCAGTTTTTTGTAAAAGAAAATGTAATAGTTTTAACAGAACTTACGGTAACAATAGCAACAATAACAATAATACAAATGCCATAATATAATGGCAGCAAGTCAAATAGGCCTTTGTAAAAAAAAAATATAGTACAGTACAATTTTAATATAACATGGTCAAATGTTTAAATTGTATTAGTTTTTTATTAATGTAATATTTTTTTTATTGAAAACAGAGCAATGTGAATCCAATTTATGATTGCTTCATATAATGAAACCCCATTTTGGGTAAATGTTATTATTGACATCATACAAATGGTCGATATTTATTGTCCATAACATTGTCAACCAACAATCACCGAAGAACATGAAGACACAGATGAAGAATACTCGCATCCTGTATGTTAAGCAATTTACGGTCACAGAAATTACACTTAAGATGATTAAAAACCAGATGATATTAACAACTACGCAGCAGCTTTCACTGTGTCATTGTCTCCTTCAAAGGTTATCTCATAAAAATATTGCATGAGTCATCATAACACTAATGAGTTAGATGAAGACAAATCTATTATTTACCAACATAAACCAGCGTTGTAAGTAAAGAGAAGAAATGGCTAGTGTGTCTTCTATGCATAGTATTTCCATTCCTAAATAATTTTTTTCTTCCAAATATTTTCTTCAGATTTGTAAAAAATCGTATCGTAAACTTCTGTTTTACTTTACTTACAGTTGAACGGTTTTTTTTATAGCCAAAACCATTCAATATTCTTTACTGGCCTATGATTATATTATTACTTGTCACTTGTGTGTTTATTAATGTATACAGTTGAACTTGCCTACTAGTCAAATCCAAAATGCCATTGAAATATTGTTTGACTTAGATAAAATTTGACTTACAGGTTGTTAATTAATGGAAAACACAACAATTTGGCATGTAAAATAAGATCGACTTAGAAATTATTCGACTTAGGCACAGACTAGGCAAGTTTAACTGTATTTTAAAGAATACCTAGCTAAAAAAACATGAGTGAAATTGTCTTCATTTTTGTGTCTTTGTTCTACTTTAAACAAATTTTTATTTATTTTTCTTTTTGGCAGAGGGATGGGAGGTGACAGATGAAAACAAAAACATGGGTCATGGCTGTGAAACACCAGTGTAAATAGTTTGACGAAACCTGCAGTGGCTCTAGGATTTTGTCTAGGCCCTAGGCCAGACTTTCCTGGCAAGATAATAAAGGTAGGCATCTATCTAGCCAAAGCCATAGTGCTCCTGCCACTGTACAGGCCTAGGCTAGCTCACTTAGGCTAGAGGCCTAGCATATAAGTTAAGGCTTGGGCCTAGGGAAGGGCCCAGGCCTAGCTAAGTTAAGCTAGCCTAGGATTGGAAGGCATATAGGAGGCCTAGCCTGCCTACTGTATCTGGAGTCAAGAAATTGAGACGGATGTATAATCGGCGAATAAATAATGAGCAAAGGGACATGGGAAACATTTAGCATTATTAAATAATTATGCAATGTTAGGGTATTACACGGTAGCAATTAATTAAAGACCCATCATTCAGTCAACCTCCATAACAAAACAAAGACACAGCAACAGCAGATAATCGCGATATGATCTGCAACACAAAACCGGTCGGAAGATCCCACCCAAAATTCCGATTAAAAACACGATTATATTTCCGAACGGAACACCTACCGTCATATCGCTCAGCTTGTTCAGCTACTTTAGCTGTGAAGACATTATCCAGCCTATCACCCATAATGGATTTATTTTACAAATTAATGATCGAAGTGGATTTTAACAATAAGTTGAATTTCTGACTTCAAGACGTATATTAATTTCGTTATGCTGAGCTCAAGCTCTAGCTATGGATGAGCTGTGTTGTTAAGAATGCATTCACTTCCGGATCATCAGGAGGGCATCGCGAAAAAGAGTGGGCGTGTTCATAAATAAGTGATGCAATATTCTCAGGGCTAGTAAATTACTCTATCATCGTTGGGGCTATACTGCATTTCAAATACGAAATAATTAAATAAATAATTCTCAAGAGCATATCGTGCCAACGACTCAAATACCCAATACATTAATTACTATATAGTAGTGTCGCACATAACCTCTCAGAAATAGGGAGAAAAGTCTCCAAAAACGAGGGGTTTCAATGTGGGGAAAGGGAATCAAAAAATTAAGTCTTGGTAAAATCTTCCCTTTTTTGTGTGATTGCGGCTTAAGATTTTTTTTTAGAATATAATTTAAAAGGTAATGCATATTGAAACTTTATTATCAGTGGCTGATCCAGGAATCATTTTCGAAAGAGGAACTACCTAGGGAGGGATTTTCACATGTGGAAAGTCTAAACCACCTCAGCCTCACCATGGTTAGGACTGAGTTAAGAAAATTTATGATTATGCCACCTCACCTCTAAGATGACTGGAAATGGCACTCTCAGACCTAGATTTGATTAATATTTTCCTTTTTTCTCCATTTTTTTATACTGTAATTTGAAAAAATTTAGGGAAATCCCCCTCCCCCAACCACCTTCCTGGAATCTGCCGCTGATTTATGCTGATTATTTGATTATAGAGATTTATTCAATTTTGGCACTATGAGCATAGGCTGATTTCGGGGATGTGCAAAAATTGAGAATGTGGAACTACATCCCTCTATTCCAATGAAAAATTCATGGTCATTAAGTTTAGTATTTAAACTACTTAATAGAACTAATTTGCTGCCATATGTGATGTGTCAGTACCACCCACAGCCTATGCCCATGAGCAAACAAAAATTACAAGGTGAACATAAATTAAAACAAGTGCTAAGCACTGTTAAAAGCAAACTTAGTCACTATCATCATTGCAATTAGTATTGTAATTATTTTTGTTGATTACCAAAATTTGTGATACGATAAACTCATCGGTGGCTATGTTTACACACAGCAGCTAGTTAGCAGGATCCGGATTACAAACACACGCACTCACCCGTGCACTTATAGCTATTTATTATCTTTGGTTAATACAAGAAAATCCCGATTCGGATACCAGGAAGATGACGGTGGGATCACTGGCCAATAGGAAAATGGAAATTTGTACATGTGATTTGTTAATGATAGAGACGCGCTCAAGTTGCTAACCGACAACGCTCGCTAACCGTTAGCGTATCCGGATTCTGAAAACGGTTAGTGCTAACCGATCAAAGGAGGAACAGGTTCAAATACCCGAAGCCAGTTATTCTCCCATTATTTTTGTTGTTGATGTTGCTGCTACTGTTGTTATTCTTATCAGGCAAAAGATGCAACAAAGATTCACAAAAACAATATGGTAGTAAAACATAATTTTCAAATACATCACTTTATTTCATGAGGTTTTCAATATAATTTGAAAGCCCACATCACATACTCTCTATTCACCAAAATTACATAAGGTGTAATAATATATTATTTTATCAATACAGTAATTACACATCAATCTGAAAAACAATAAATCAATGTGGCATGAGATAGTTCAAATTAAATAAAAATGGAAGCTTTCTTTAGACTTGCATATCACAAGATATAAATTACTATGGAATTATTCAGTTCAATTTAGAAGAGAAAAAAAATTATTGCCTGATTTATTCATACTTCATCAGCTGTAGTTGAAGTGATCTGTAATTATTCTGTACAAAATGCCCAAATTGTCTTACCCAATCAAGTACAGCAAATATTTTCTACTGTTTAATGCTCTGTCGTCACTACCAAATTGAATGCGACAAATATCTGCACCCTGCTCATGCCTAGCCTAGCCTACCCGCCCCAATCCCCACCCCCAAGTTTTACTGATGTTCCAGATTCAAATGTGAATACAGTACGTTATCAAATATTACAGTCCAGTACAGTACTGAATTACATAATGGCTGCTATTGTTAATGACAGGAGATACCAAGATAAAAGTTGGCCATAATTAGTTGGCATATTTTAAAAGTGAAAGTTGCTGAAGATAATAAAAAAAAAATTACACACAAATTGTTCAACTCCATAATTATGAACATTCTGTAAAATGCAGCCATAGAAAAATAAAACAATAAATATCTTAGTAAAACGAAAATCAGGAAAAATCCTTTGTTGATAATTTGCAATATACCGGTAGTTCCTATAGATCCGATATAAATTGTTTAAATTTCCATTTTGTTTATCGATACTCTATGTGAACAGCTCTGGGAAACCTACTTTGTTAATAAAACTGAAATTTTTTTTTTATATTATACTCTACACAAGAGAATGTTTAGTTGATGAGAACTTTCTGAAAAGCAATTAATATTTAATTTAATGGATATCAGCCAAGCATATTTCAAAAAAAAGGCCAAGCTATTTAAAATATGATGATCTTTTCAGTTAGTTTTTTTTTTTATATTTGGTATTAATTATTTGTTATAATCTTCTTAAAACTGGCTCAAACATTTTCAGACAATTTGATTATTAGGGAAAAATGGAAATGCTGACAAAATGTAGAGTTTTAACAGAGCCTATCACATAAATAGCCATGTAATATCTGAATTTCATTCATATAGCTTTCATCCCCACCTTCATTTTCTTAACATATGAAACCATTCAAGGATTTCCATTTTGTCTACTAAAAAGCAATTTGGAATGTGTAGATGAAAAAACTGAGGAGGAAATCGATGATTAGGTAAATTTATATAATTAAACTTGACATTTTCTAGATCTCCAGGCTCAGCCAACACTATTCAGGCGCGTAACTTAGATAGGGCAAGACTTTTTTATACCTTGTTTCGCAGACTCGTTAACAAATGTTTTTGCCAAAAACATCCAGACAGAGGAAAAAATAAAAATAAAATTGCATTGGTGAACGTAAACTGTGTAGTAATGGGAAGATTAAATACTTTAAATTGATTTAATTAGGAAGAAATATACATATCTCTGTTTTTGGAGTCGTTTTCCCCCTGAAATTTAAATTTTTTAGTGGCGGTGGGTGGGATAATTGGCCAAAAATAAAATGTTATTTTATTTGAAAAATCATCATTATTTATGGGCAACAGGTTCGCTAAACAAGGTATGAAAGAAAGTCTTGTCTAGAGGATACGGTAGACAGCTTCTTTTAAACCCATCTTTTAAACCATCCCCTTGCAGTACATATGCTAGAATGCTTCAGCTCCATGGATTGGGGGGGGGGGTTTGCTACTTCAATGCAGGAGCTCACCAGAGGGCATAGGTGCCCCAATAACAGACTTTTAGTTCTCATAGGTAACCCCCTTTTAAGAAATTATGCCAATTTTTCCCTTCACTCTATTCAATATGGGCTAAATGACCTGTCCAGACTATCAAATTTTATTTGACCAAAACATGACACGCCTAAATATGGTCATGATGACATCACATCATGACTATACATATGCATATCATGAGTATATATGATGAGCATATGACAGTTTTTTGTCAAAGAAAATTTGATAGTGTTGTGAGAGCTTAAAGCTTTAGCTATGTCACCTTTGATACAGTAGTAAAAATCTGGACAAAAGATGTCTATACCGATATTTCAATCCCAGAATTCAATTCATAATTTAAAACAACAGTGCAGCCCTATCACTAAACAATCAAAAAATGTTAACAAGTAATAAGAAGGAAATTCTTCAAAATAGCCCTCTCAGTGCTGTCATAATCCATTTTGGGCTTGCATGCCTGTTGTAATTAAACATCCTGTCTTCTGTATCCTACGATTGGCTATATGTGTGGTGCATTCAATAGTGCAATTTACTGTAAATGTAAGCCAATGACTCAAGATAGAGCAACCATTACAATATTCCCAAGGCTTTTCAAGCAAAGTACAAACATGATTTACAATGCTTAAATTTTGTTTATTTCTACTGTAGTTAATTTTCAGGACTTCTCTGACAAATACCTGTATCATCCCCATGTATAGACTTCCAAAAAAATATATTGAGCTCAGCAGTAAATTACAGTGTAGATTTTATTTGAAATAAATCTGTTGCCACTTGATTCTAACATCTGATAAGAGATTCATATTTAGCTTACTTAAGAATAATATTACTGATTTGCGATGTGCACTTGTCTAGGGAACGACAACAGCGATGACGCCCTCCTCCATTACCATGATGTTCAAATTTCTCCTCAAACTGCCTTTTAAGTTTGGCCCTGAGTTCTTCGCGAATTTGTGGGAGGAATTGGTGCTCCTTTCTGAATTTTGCGATGTCTTCTTCTGCTATGAATTCTCGGCATTCATCATTGTCTCCTTCCTGAATGTCAACCAAATTAGAAATGTTATGAATTGAAAGGTCATATATTTTCATCATTTTTATAAGAGTACAAAAATATGGGGTCAAACCATGTATACTCTTATCTGAAAATGAAAAATATATGATTTCAAAATCTCAAAATTATCATTTCAATATTTTTTTTCGTGATAGGGATGGGTAACAAAAAAGGAATATTTGTACTCTGTTAAAAAAGATTTTAAAAAAATGGATAGTCCCCTTTAATACTTAGATGATGTTTATTATATCTATTTCCGTCCTTGTTTTCAACTTCTCCAAGAGAGGTTAACATTATCCTGACTTTTCAGTTCAATTTTCCTTGCCAATAATTTTTAAGTGATTTAAATTAGTGATAATTAGTTACATCATTACTGTATTTATATACCAAGAAATGCTTGCACCTAGAGCTGAAACAGTTTGAGCCACTTCACAGCCTGTCAACAATGCAAGTTGTGGTATCTAAGAATGGCCGGCTGCATCATGACTACAAGTTCAATAACCAGAATGGAAACCGCTAAGCCAAACTGCCCTTCCTATCCAAGACTCTTTTACATAAGCAGCAATGCTAAAAATACGATGACAGGTAATATAATATAAAAACTGATCAACTCTTACATCTAACATGTCTTGAAGTGTACAAGTAAATGCTGCATTTTTATCATTATTTCTTGGAATAGTCTTCATCTCTGAAACATCCTTGCCACAAGTACTCTAAAAATAACATGAATGATAAGTTAAGGATTAACCAGTTCAGTGAATGAAGCTGACGTGACGACAGCAACAGCAATAAATGACTCTGAAACACAGGTACCATATTTATTCGAATAAACGTGTGTCCTGTGTGCATTTAAGATAAGATAAGATAAACTTTCATTAGTCCAAACATTAAAACATGGCGTATTTAAACACAAAATTATGGCCCAAGTGCACGTTAAAGAACGCAGTACACTGTTCGGAAAAGAGTAGGGGATTGTCTCCCAGTGTACTGCCCAATCACTACCGAAAGGACCCCACTGGAAATAAGTACAGCTACTTGAAGGGAGCGAAATTTAGGAGAACACAACTCAAAATTTAAATTACCTCCTGGTAACACCCTTGGCAACACTGGCTTTCATCCTCTAAGTTTATGTCACAATCAGGACAAATTTCATCTACACAGCAGTCATGGTTACAAGGATCACATTCTTCTAAACACCCTGAAAACAGTAAAATTCAAGCCACAATTTCAAGCTTGATCCATACCATCTTTCTTGAATTACAATGGATATAATAAAATGATAATCAAAATAATTAGATAATATTACTAATAATATAACCATAAAATTCATTATTATTGACAACAAATTATGGGTTAATCTTATATGACGATATTTCAGTGGTAGGGAAGATAAACCAACAAGCTATTTTAAACGAAATGTTAATGGAAATATTTAGAACTAATATAACATAATAATTAGTATTTAAATATGTTTGTTTATAAGACAATTGCATTTAAGAATGACCTAAAATCTTTACTAATATTTACTATAAATCTACATTCTAGTTTATGTACTCAGGATTTTTTATCTCTCAAAACCACATTAAAAATGTATTGACATTACCTGCATTGTCGTCATCATGGTTACATATTCCTTCTGTACACGCCACTTCTGAATTCTCTGGTGAACTGTAACTACAGTAGCCACAGTCATTCCGACAAACTCCCGTTCCATGTCCACATGTTCCACAGGGAACCTCATTCTCATTAACATCGCTTTCCTCTTGACACTAAAACAAAATGAAAAATACAAATAAAGTCTTCTATACATCACAGGTGGGCTAAGTGTGGCCCATGGGTCACATACTAGATCTATTGTGAAAGTTATATTCCACACACGCCCTTTAAAAAATAAAATACAATCCATTAACATCGTAATAGATATAAAACGTACACAAAGCACCTTGCATAAATCCGTGGCATGGTGATGACATTCAGTCCTGTCTTCTTCGTCATCCTTCTCTACTTTATCTACATCACATTTGCATTCATTTTCCGGTGACACGTCCAAGGGCAATGTTCCACCCTTTCCTTTTTTCTTCGCCTTCCGACGCAGTTTTTTCATTTCTTTCTTTTGTTGCTTAAGTTTATCTGCTTCATCAATTTCCTCGCACACTTGCTCCAGCATACTCATACCCCTCTTTGATTCAACCGTTACCTTAAAAGTGTGAAAAAGTAAAATTATTAATGAATTTGATAAAGACAAGGAGGAATGGAAACATAACATTGATGTTCATAACTAATATCCACAGAAACGTTTATGAAACGCAGATTGCTATTTTCAGGTCACTGTTAGAGAAGTAAGAGAGAAATTATTTCCAAGATATTGTTCTGGCAACCTGTGCATGGTCCCCTCAAAAGAAGAAGGTCATACTAACTTAAAATATCTTGACCAACTAGAAAAAGATACCAATTTATCATGAGAGGTTATTTTTACAGTTGTGATGAATCAAGATACATGGAAAGCAACTATCAAAATTCTTCATCAAGAATTTTATAGCATATTTGATATTACATAGTTCTACACTTATCATATAACCAAGTGTGTCGGACATGTACATACAGTAGAAGACTTCCTTTGGGACAACATTATTTAGGGGACACCATTATTCAGGGGACACTTTTATTGCTGTGAATCGAGGGAAAATATATCTTTTAACACTACGGCCAACCCCTATTCAGGGGACACCTCTATTAAGGGGACACTTTTTTTGGTGCCAAAGGTGTCCCCTTAATAGGTTCTATTAAGTAGTACAGTAGATAGGTTCTACTGTACAACTATCCATCAGCTTGAGATCAATACAAGTTACAGTTGGAATATAATAATTATAGACAAATATAATATGAAAAATATACAGTACTACGAAACTAAAATATATATACCAATAGTATTGATGAAGAACATGAGGTTAGTATGAAGATTGGAAGTCCCTCATATAAATTTGACAGCGACACATTCATGTCAATTAGTATGCTTACTAGTATTAGTATTCTTACTAGTATTAGTATTCTTACTAGTATTACTTTCATTGAACTTTGAACTTACATCTTCAACATATGAGGCTTGCCATCCCAAAACCAGCATCAGTGATTGGCTTTTTAATAATTCTTATTCTACACATTGTAAGCTTTAAAATGATGGGTCATTTACTGGAATCGACTTATTATTGCCAAAGTTATGAGGAAACATATTATCGCTTCTCTGTACTAAAGTATACAATACTGGCACATTCTTATGCTAATTACTCAACTTAACATTAAGTGACAGTGCACTGGTTTTGGGATGACAGGCCTCATATATGGATGAAGGTAGTCTTACTATATTATTATATTCAGGATTATGATGATTAATTACCTCAAATGCTTTTCGCAGCCTCTCCACTCCGAGATGGAACAGGAGATGGCACGTCTGTTCCTCGGCACGCAGCTTTTGCCCAATTCGATGCAGCCTATCGTAGATGTGCAGGCCAAGACAGGTCAAAACTTCCTCTTGTGCGACATCAATTGTTTTTGCATGTCGTTCACGACTGAAGGGAAAAAAAATGTGATTTTCAATTATTTTTTTATTTGGACAATAAAGCGAGGCATGCACTACACCAACTGTCACCAGCCGACGCAATTCCATAGAGGACACAAAATGACAAGGCATGCGCAATGAATCGTTGTAAGGATGATGCTCATACTGTCCCGACAATCAGCAGACTACGTTGCATCGTCAAGTGCATGTGTGAAGTGGTGATGGTCAAAGCATCCTTGGATGTTGCACTGTGTTCCCAGCTTCAGTCTACCATATTCCGGCTGCTAGGTAGTCACGGACCACGCCCATATGCAATGCAGCACAATGATGCTGCAAGTTATGGGTTATTCTCCTACCTTTACCTCTACCCTTTGTTTCTAAGAAAAATCACTTGTACATATCAAATTTTTTTCTTCCAGAGCCTGGGGGATATAATGTTGTGATTGTAATATCTTGTTATTTTAGATTATCAAGCAACTTACGCTCCAGAGAGCTCAGGCTCTGCTCGCATGATCAGTTTGTGGATGAAGTTGGTCTCGCTAAGAAGATGAATATGTTTCTGGCGAGTGCAGCAACGAAGACCATCGTACAGGTGGGCACAGTAGCCTTTCTCTTTAGTTGGTTCAATCTCGCCTATTAATATATTATATGCTCGCATCACCTTGGATTTGCATTCTGTGCAAAACCTAGAGGCAAAACAACAAAATAATAGAAATATACTATAGCAATTTTCACTAACTCATCAATGTACTAAAAAATGTGCAAGCAGTCGGCGCAATAGTTGTGGCTTGGACTTTCAACCTTGAGGTCAGAGGTTAAAAAGCCCTCACGGTGCAAGTCGCCTATGTCCTTGGACAATGAGACTTTTTGTATACCTTGTTTCACAAACTTATTTTTTTAAAGATCGTCAGAGAAGGGCAGAAAAAAAAAATATAAAATTGTTGGCTTTATAAATTTTTGCCAAAAACATCCAGACGGAGGAGAAAATAAAAAGAAAATTTTATTGGTGAATGTAAACAGTGTAGTGATGGGATGGTTAAATGCTTTAAATTTTTTATAATCAGGAAGAAATATCTTATTTTGGGAGATTTCAAGGCAGTGGTAGGCGTGATAAAAATAAAGAAATTTCCATTTTACCGTGGCGACGGAAAATTGGCCAAAAATAAGATTTTATTTTCATTCGAAATCACCATTATAGTGCAGCAGTTTAGGCACAAATTTTGGCTCAATTGTGCACTTTTTGATAAAAGCATGAAACTTGGCAAACATGTACTATGACCCATAGCGAATATTTTCAGGTAGGGACTCACATCAACAGCACCCTCTACCAGCTAGAAATGTTTCTATTTTTAGCCATATTCAAAATAAAATTGTACTTTAAATAAACCTCAATTCTTCATTTATATATTTAATAGTAGTCACATACATAAGCATTAATGACAAATTGTATAAGTCTATAAATGTAAAAATTACAATTAACAGTGCCCTCTAGTGGTCAAAAAATAAAAATTTATATTTCAGCCACATTTATGTTGGAAAATTTGTATTACAAATTCTTTACTTATATAAATAAGATTAGTGATATGTTTAAACATATTAATGACAAATAGATTCAGCCTTTTAAAGCAAAAATCTAATTTTAGCACCAACAAGATAAACATTCTATAAAATAATATTGGCTGTTTTAATATACGACATGTTTCTATAAACCTCAAAATGAGTTGCAAAATATTAAAATTTATTATTTTAAATAGCTATATTCTATTTTTAATATAGCTTGTATATGGTATACAATTTGTAAATCATTTTACTATAAGCCATAAGGAATAAATGAAATTGAGGTACCATTAGCAAAATTGATAGCAAAATAAATTAACTTTATTGTTAAGAGTGTGCATGACTGCACACACGGTGAAAAGTTAGTGTGCATGCTTATTAACTATAAGTATAAATTAGACCGTGGTTGCCATAGGTGTGCACTGAGTTAAGCGTGTCTAGTGGAAATAGTATTAATGCCACTCAAAATGTTATTCTACTTTTAACTTTTATTTTATCTTCATCAAGAAAAATACATACTACAAAAAGATTGGGTACAAATTATATGACAGACGCTGGAAACCTTGACAGTCGTCGACCATGGTGCGGCGGAGCAGAGTTGACTGTGTTGAGCGATTGGGTGTTACTATCGATATACAGTACCGGCCTAATTATTGGTTAATTAACTTAATTAGAAACCATAATTGTGGAATAATAAGTGGTTTATATGAAAGTCAAATCAACAAAAACACATGTTAGTGTTGAATAATTGTAAGTTATGAATAATTTGGTAACCGTTTTCATGGCTGGATGCAAAACCGTATTAGCGCAAAAAGGCCTTGCATTATGATAGTAATGATAAAAAGTATAATTATGTAAAATGAAGTTACTACATGACCTATATTGTCACAGAAGTAGTAAAAGTCTCAAATTATACTAATAATAATAGTATCAACAACATAGAACATCAACATCAGGTTAAAAATTATAAATTTTTGTTAATATGGCTGAATCTTTATGTTGCTTGTCAACTACTTGTTACAGTTTTGATACATTTTACAACATTTGTTACAGTTATTAAGCAGCAGAGTAGCTTTTTACTGTATGTGCAGTCATGTGTACTATGTACACATGGTTTAGTTCAAATTTCTCTCAGTTTTGTTACCGATACCTTGATTTCATTTATTCTTTATGGAGTATAGAAAGATGATTTACCTAACAAATTATATACCATTCAAAGATAATTCAAAAATATAATATGATTATTTAAAAAAAATAATAATGTTTGCCACTCAGACTCAGAGTGAAGTTTATAAAAACATGTTGCATATTACTGTAAAACAGCCAATAAAATATTAAAATATTCGCCACTTTAGGACACTTAAATTGGATTTTTTTAGTCTGAAACTATCTGTAAAATTTCTACTGTATAATCTTACACTCTTGGGTTCCAAAGAATATATAAATTTGATGTTTCACAGGACAATCCCAATAAGATAAAGATCACTCTACTGTTCATGAGGTCAAACCATGCAAACATGAAAATAGGTTTATGATGCTAGAGTTCAGCTACAACAAACAATAAATACAACAATGCAATAATAAATGTCAGAATGTGTAATAATGCATATTAGATAGAGTTTAAACTAACACCAACCTGTGTTTTCTGAGATACGTTTCCATAGTAACCTGTAGGGCAGTTGCGGGTACTAAAGTAACTTCATCCCTGCATGGTGCCTCGAGTGCTTCCCAAACTTCAATCCAATTTCTACAACATAATCAACATAAATTGTACGCTATCTTTCATAACAAATCTCTCAACAAACTACACCAGGCAGCCATATTAGATGTACAAGGGCATTGTTTCTGACAGTAACCCTATATAGATATCTGTTAATGATTTACCAAATCTATTTCGTAAGACTAAGTTAAGAAAGGGTGCTGGTACTCACAGACTTGGAGGTAAATTACTAATAGAATAAATTTCTCAAACTGCTTATTATATTAACACATTTTTCAACTGTCATCTGTTATGTGTCTCTTCTCATTCTATTTAAAAAGTATATTTCGAAACTTCCATTCGTTTCAGCAATAATTTTTTATTGAATCCTGAATAATTTCCTATTGGTAGCTGTACCAGCATTGTCCCCACTGAAAGCACCAAATGACTTTTGTCTAATCGCATTAACATCACTAGTAATGAAGTGTTTGGAAAGGCCATAACAAGTTTTACTAAACCTGTTGTTGAAAGGAAACGTGGGGAAGACAAGCCAAACCAGTCACTCTACGCAAAAACGTGTTTCGGATATAATAGTCAAAACATATTGGAATGTCAACATTTTCTAAATCTATTCTATTGCATTAAACTAACCTTTATATATCTACACATCATTCTAATTATTTTCCCCATTTTCAATGTGTTATGTTGTTATTTTTCCCATTTTTGATGTTATAACAAAACTTTCGTAGGATCTGGTGATGGTCTCTGCTCAAGAAATCTCTGAAGGCTGATTTTTACTGGTCTTTAAACAACTGTATGTTTAAACCATTACCATTTTTATAACTTTCATTTTACTGTTTAACCCTCTATTAATAACTAAAAATCAATTTTTTTGAGGCGTGACTGGTTTAACTTGACTTTGTCACAAATGAATGGTAAGCAGTTCACATACTGGGTATACCATTAAGTCTTAAGAATTCCATACTGTAAATATCTAGATTTCAAAGGCAACTATTGATATGAATGTTAGAAGTTGAAGATATTATCATTATATTAATACTTAATTATATTCATACTTGATTTACATACCCATTAGGTTTAGACTTGTGAGAATCTAGAGAGTGAAGTGCACATCGTTTACTGCCCTTTTTTCCACGAGGTAAAGCATCCAAAATCCCTGTTAGTTTGCATCTGTAATAAAAATTAACAATACTAAAGTTATTTATTAACATTCCACTATTGTAGATTCTGATTTTGATTTATTTAAAAAAACAATGCACATCACTACCTACAGTAGGCGAGACTTATTTTATACCTTGTTTACTGAACCCGCTGGTCCGCCGATAATGATTTCGAATAAAATTAAAATTTTATTTTTGGCCAATTAGTGCCCCCACTGCCACAATAAAATGGATATATTGTAAACAAAATTCAAGTTTTTCTTTATTTTTATTACACCTGCTGCTGCCTAAAAATCTATAAAAGTAAGGTATTATATTCTTCCTATTATAATTATATAAATTAAAAGCATTTAACCATCCCATTACTACACTGTTTACATTCAACCATAACATTTTATTTTTATTTTCTCCTCTGTCTGGATGTTTTTGTCAAAACCATTTGCTATAAATAAGAACACAAAATTTTATTTTAATTTTTTATTTTATACCCTCTGCTGACTATCTTTTAAAAAACATAAAGTTTGTGCCTGAACTGAATTACAAGGCTGAAATTCAAAGTAAATTAAAGTACATCAATATAATATTGTTAAACTCACAGCAAAAAACAGAACAGAGTAAAATAAGAATACAACAACTTGTGAACAGAACAAGAAAAGAAACTGAAACCAACCAAATAAAAATCAATTTAGAATTATTGGTAATTAATAATGTGTTATTGCTATGCTTAGTTCCAAAATGTATTTATTCCATGCTAATTCCATGATTATTATCAATGAGTGCTAACTTTAACTCTCTCTACCTAAATTCAATATTTTGTTATATCTACTAGAATTCAACTTTAAAATATCTTTATTGTTCTAATTAGACACCAAGGCTGCTAAAAATATGGAAACACCGATCCCAAAAGTGGTCTTTAATTGGAGGGAGTCTGAAATATCAAAAGAAGTGGAGATGTAGCTTGGTGGTTGGGATGCTTGTCTTCCAATCCCAGAGTCCTGGGTTCAAATCCTGTGACAACATAGAAGTTTCTCTCACAACTTAAACACATCTCCACTTCCTAAGCCTTGTAATGAGACTTTGCTGATAAAACATCACATTATTTCATATATTTAAGAAGGTCCCTGATCATCAGCCGACCTTCTAGGATACACTGTAAGGGTCACCATCTATAAGTATGGTTAAAAAATAGGGAAAAAATACTTACCCCTGAACATTAAATAATGTATGCATATTCCATGGAGAGTATAGAAATTCTGGCTTGAGAGAGAGTTCAGACCTGGCAGTGATTACCAGTGGTTCCAGCGCATTCACTAAACTCTGGTCTGTCAAACGTTTGAACATCTGTTCAATGCTGTGGGGGAATAACATGTTAAAGCAAACATCAGTCTTACATATAAGTTGTATGATGTTGGTACTAAAAATGGCAGTCAATGAGCAAGATACTCAACTGGATAAACCAAAAATTGGCTTGGGTCCCTGGAGAGCCATGGTATCTCTAGTACAACGCCACCGTCATAACTTCACCAACATAAAAATAGATATGAATACAGAAATAACCCTTAGTCCACCTAACTCATCAATTACGATTGTTAGTAATATATTTGTTGATCAACCAATAGGCTTTTTTTTTTACTATTTTTGATTATCGCATGTTTGTATTTACAAGGAGTACACACTGACAGAAATTGTTTTCTTATGTGTACTCCTTGGTTACTTATAAGCTAAAATTTTGAATTACAAGCACAGATACTAGGTAATATACGCAAAATAAAAATAATGGTAATAATATACAAAAAAAAATTATCGAAGTAATCTTTATCTTGATGTTTTACCTGTGATAGCGATTCTGTATTCATATTATAAATTCACCAATCTATTTCTTTGAATATATTATTTACAGAGGTACATGATTATTACATTGAAAAGAAAGCACAAACTGTTGATGTCTAACCTCCTTCTACAGCCTACGCATGTAATGTTTTCCATAACCATTGACCCAAGCAATTCCTTACTTGGAATCAGCAATGCTGCTGCAAGTTCATCTCGTGATAATAAAGCCATTTTCTGTAAAAAAGAAAAAAAGTAAAGTATTAATATTCCCTTAGTAGTTTAACAAGAATGAAAAGCAAAAGTAATATTTAGTTAATACTACTCAATTGATTATTTTGATCACAGACAATACTTGATCCTTAATCCAAAAATGAGCATTTATCATTAGATGCACTATACTATTTGCTACAGTACATATCTCCATCAAATACTACCGAACAAGAACGTTGTTGATACAAACTATACTGTGGTGAAATATACATACCGGTAGTTATGCTATCATATTGATATTAAAGAGAACAACTCCCTAACACAATATTTATAGGCTCTAAGATAAATTATAAAAATTTGCCAAATGAAGAAAAGATTTAAAAAAATATATAAATTTTAAATGTCAAACTAAAGAATAATTTATGCAAAAAACAAGAAACACATTTCATATGCTTGATGCGTGTGATAAAAACCATCGTTTGAATCCGCATGTTTAGATCTCTTCTTGCATTTTATAATTGAAAGTTATCAATATATAGTTTGTCAGTGGCAAATTTGTTTACGTAGTTTAACAATCAAAGTGATGCACAACATTAAAGTATGGGTTACTTCTCTTTAATTCCATCTTGAAAATTGCAAACAAGTGTAACTCCATCAGGTAAAGAACAAACTGTACACACACAATTGTTAAATGAAAATTGTGGTTAATCTTTTTTAAAGCTATGCCAAAAACACAACATATTTGTAATGTACTATGTGACAATGCATGCATAAATACTGCAGTATATTATTATAGCATCTACCATTGACCCATAAATTTTTAAATACTGCTGGTTAAGCTTTATTTCTAAATAAATGTTAAGGATATTCACCTTGGAATGCTAAGTGATATTATATTCAGAGATTTACAGCAGGAATAAATTCAGTATCTACATAATCTACTGTACACCACACTTCATTAGATCGTGCAAGCTGTTTTCACATGGCCACATGCATTTCAGCCAGGCATACACAAACCTGAAACTGATTGTGTTCTGCAACACACGGTGTTGGTGACATTAGCATGCCCATTACCCATTAAATTTATTTATTAACAAACCAACAGCGAAAACAAGAATCACCACTTACAGTATTGTAAAAACATGACACATTACAGACAGGTTACGAGACATTACAAAAAAAAAAACAAAAAAAAACAAGTTGCAAGGTCTATAAACATACATTTTATTTAATATTTGACTGTTCTTTAAATCAGTTTATGGAAAGTCTTAATATGTCTGGGTGCTCACTAATACTGCAGCACAATAAAAAAAAATCTCACAATCATACTTCACTGATTTTCAGCAGCTCAAACTACAAATTTAATATGCAGTAGATTGAGACGTATTTTTTACCCATGTTTTCTTTAAATTTTAAATTGAGCAGGGTAGTCATGTTGTCATAAGAAGAATAAGATAACAAAAATGCTTGTGGTACGCTACATACCGTAGCTCTGAAAAGAACTGTTGCATGCTTTATAACTTTAAAAATCTGACATTTTTGATGTACAGTAATATTCTATCATTGATAACAACAACAATTTTGAAGGTCAATCGTAAAGTTGACCTTATTTTAAATGCAAAATTGCTGTTTTTCCATTAATTAACGATCTGTAAGTCAAATTTTATCTAAGTCAAACAATTTGTTCAATGCCATTTTGGATTTGACTTGGGTATGTTCAACTGTACAGTATATGAAATTTGTAATTAACAAAAATACATGAATACACATTTACCATCATTATAATTATTAACTATCATTTCATTACCATTAACTATAATTACCTATTATCAAACCATAAGATATAAATGCTAATTTTTTTTTTTTAATTATTATTTATCAATATATTATAAAATTGCAATGTCTTTAAATTTATTAGAATGAAAATTCTTGATGCAATTACGCACAATTTCCTACATATTGCTTAGTTATTACACTATGGGCACATTGGCCGAACTGTTGATAAGATATACTGTTTGAAGTAAGGCAGGAAGAGTCTAGGTACATAGGGCCAGATTTGAGTATCATTCTCAACACATTCTATTAATGTTCTATGCCAGTAGAATTACATTTTTTCTAACCTCGTTATGATCAATAAGTCTTTATGATCACATAATAACACATTTTGACAGTCATTATGTATTTTAGAGTGAAATTAATGGGCATATATTTGAGTATTGTAATAAATTACCATTCCTTGCCTTACTTTAACATATTTAATACATAGAAGATTCTAGAATAACATTTAATTGATCAAAGAAACAGTGTAAATCACATTGGTAATTTTAGGAACACATGACACCATGTAGAATCCAAGAGTAATATATGAAAGCTTCTAGAATCTTTGGTACTATAGAGGCAAATAAGCCTGATTGGTTAATTATAATGTAAGGTGACCAATGAGGAACTTAGGCAATATAGAATGATCTGGAATGCTCTGGAATAGTGCAGCTAGGGTATACAAGCTGACAGTTTTATCAGCTGTCACGATGCGTGTATTTCAATACTTGGAGTATGTATTATACTTTCTTATCTGAGATTAATCAGTGGACCTTTCGGTTTTTGACAGTTTTATCTTTCTGGAGCTCTTTTTGAAACATGTTTATGTGAATGTTATTGTATTGTTTTGATACCGGATTCTTGTTGAAGTTTATACAGAATAAAAGTTTATTTTTGAGTTGTGTTACAACTTTGTGAGCTGTGTTTTATATTTTATATCCCAAAGAGGGATTCCTAGTCATTTCTATACCGCTCGGAAATACGTGAAGTAGGAATTCATGACAAGTATACAAATCCATTTCACACCAACAAAAATAATTGCCTCTCTCGAAAAAAACGCCTCACTTGAATAAACGCCCTCTCAAAAACCCTTTTCAACAATAAACACCCCAGGGCTTAAATTCAAATATGGTAATAATTAGTCCTTTATATTGACGATTTTGAATTTAATGAGTTTTTTTGTCACAGTGAAAAGTAATTTTCTATAAATTTTCGATGATTTATGTACAGGTACTGTATCAGTGGTGTTGACTAACAATTAATATTGAAAATTTAAATTTTTGAAATATATTTAACTTCAATAATTTTATGATTAAATGTGATTCATAATCATGGGCAACAAAAAAAACCCATAAAATATTATTGCATTACAATAATTACTGCACTGCAGTGTAATTCCATCCATGTGCACACATCTTTGATTCTGGATAATATACAAATATGCACAGGAAGCTATAGAAACAGTATATTTCCTTTAAATAAAAACTAGAAAGTAAAGATAAAGTAACACACTTATTCTAATTCTTATACTAAAAGCAAGTCAATAGAATTACATCATGTGGTGTCTAACTATGAGGTCAGGTCATGGTGTAAGGAAAAAGGGATTACATAGTTAATATGTAGGTCAGTCACTGGGTGTCTAATCTTGAGGTCAGGTCATGGCACAAGGCAAATTATGAATAAATTACAGTACAGTATGTATTTTTAAAGACAGCCTTTAGTTCTCATTGAATTATCTTAGTAAAACTAATATGGAACTTAAACTCCAAACTGTTGGTCTACAGTAGTCAGAATAGTAGTCAATTTTCAATCCTTGGATGAATTATTATGTAATCTTAGTTTTATTAACCTGGTAACCTACTAATGCTTTTTGTTTATTAACCGACAATTAGACACCATGAGAGTATTAAATGGACAGGAACACTAAAGCCTCCATGCAAAAGCCTACTGTAGCAAACCATGGAGGTATATACCTCCATGAGCAAACACAATTGTTGACTTATTGAAATACACATCTGGTGCAATTTGGAATACTGTATCATAAATAAACTGCGAAGACATTTATTTTTACATAACCGTAATTATTCAAATAAACGCCCTGGCATATATTGTTGAGAAGGGGATTTTTAGGGGGCGCTTATTCAAGGGAGGCATTTATTGGAGGAAGGCATTAATTTTTTTGGTGCAAAATGGATATGTAGGCCTACTGTCATGCTCAATTAAATGCTCCTTAATTTCACCGTAAATGAACTACAGCACATAATACCGTCAAAATGTGTTATTGCGTGATCATAAAGACTTATTGATCTACTGTAAACAGGTTAAAAAAATGTAATTCTACACATTAATGGAATGTGTTAAATGTTACTTCGATTAAATTTGTTTAGTCATTTAGACAGGCAATTATTTGAAAAAATAATAAACGCCCTGTTTATTCCAAAAAAGGTTATAGAGGGGGGGGGGGCGTGTTTGAGCAGGGTGTTTATTCGAACAAATAAGGTATTAACATGTTCTACTTCTTTACATCAAACTGATCAACGTACCTTTGCAAAGAAATCAACAGCTGCATGAAATTTCTTGTCTTTCATGTACTCTGAGTTGTGCCTGCAGTGCACTTTTTCTATGGTTGGTAGCTGCATCACCATCTAAAATAAAGAGATTTAATGAGCTAAACTGTTATTTGATTCGGGTTAAGTGAATGTGGAATGGGCAGTGCAAGAAAGACTTATCTCCTATCTCTTTGAATTAGTTCTAAGAATTATAGAGTTCCAAATATAAAGAGCTATCTCAACCAGAATTAAGCAAATATTGCACCATATTTGTAGTGGAGATGTAGTTTGGTAGTTAAGATGCTTGCCTGTCCAATCCCAGGGTCCTGGGTTCAAATCCTGTGACAGCCAGGATTTTTTCTCACAACTAAAAAAAAACACATCCACTCCCTAACCCTGATAAAGTATCAAATTATTTCATGTATTTAAGAGGACCCCCGAATATCAGCTGACCTACTAGGATACGCTGGAAGGGTTAGCCTACAAATAAATGTTTTGTTTATTTTTTAATTACACCGAAGTCAGCATTTAGGGCCAACAGAAAAAATCATTAGATTATCACTCCCACCTGCGTGAAAAATTTAGGAAATATTGACGCGGGAATATTAATTTCTTTTTTTTTTGCTGCATTATTTATTTTTACTGCATCAAAAAACCAATGCTCACAAAATATAAAGGAAATGGCTCCGAATTTTGCAGACTTCAAACTCTTTCAATTGATTAGACCAGACATTGGTCACCTAAAGTTGAATGCAAAGCCCATTCTTTAAACTCCTTGTTTTCTGTCGCTCAAAATAAACAGCTCGCTAACTGCGGCTAATAATAGACAACACCGCAGTCCGTCCCTAAAGAGACCCATCCAGTGTGCTGAGTGGATCATTAATTCATAGCGTAAAGACTCACATGTTCCACAGCTTCGGTTAAAAATAGACAACACCGCGGTCTGTCCCCACAAAGACCCGCTTAGTGGGCTGATCGGATATTTGATTCACAGCTCACATGTTGCAAATAGACTCTCGCTGCTAAAAATAACTTACATCATGCATTACAAGTGGGCAGTCTTCTTTGTGATGAGTGTGATTGGTCGGATTGGTTGTTGTTAGGCAAAAAATAACATACATCAAGAAAGCTTAGGCAAAGGCTGGCTGGTCTAGCTCGAGCTAAGGACAAGGCCTAGGCGCCTATGCCTACTAACTATAATTATCATTAGTGTTCGCTTTGATGCTCAAGTAATGTTTAAAATATAGTTTTGGATAGGCAATTGAATTGTATTCCAAAGGCAGTCGCTTAAATGTATCTACCACCGAAAAAAACGATTTCATTTTCGTATCTGTACATGC